CTTGTGTCCTACCAAATCTGTCATGCTGAGAGGGGAGGCTTTGTTATAACTGAGGCGCAGTGTTAAATCATGTCTAATCTGAGCCAATACCTTGTCTGGCAGTGTGCTGTTGGGTCTTATCAGATCAGGTGCTGCTACACTTTCCACTGATTTAAGCCATATGCAAGCAGTTTAAATTCTATCCTAGTCCCCGTGATTAGTGTTTCCACTCATCTGGTTATAGACCTACAGAGATGCTTTAAAACTGGAGAATGGTTTTTAGAAACAATCAAGGAAATTAAGAAGTGTGTTTCTGAATTTGACATCAGTGATTCAAAAAACCTCCATCCATCTCTAAAAACACTTAAATTCTCAGCACAAAATAATAATGTTTACTTTTTGTTTGTTTAGAGCCTATCGGAATAACAAATAAAAAGAATGCTTTTTGTTTGTTTTGTATCAAGCATTTGGTTTAGGGTGTGACCTCTTACATCTCAAAAAAGTAATAAATGAAAGATTATTCCCTGCAGGTGAACTAGTCTTATAGTAGTAAAACATTTAAACATATTCTTAAGTCTGTCTATATTGAACAGATCCTCTAAATACAACCCAGGAGCTAGATGGAGCTTCTTCCAGGTCTCCAAATGACAAAAAAAAAAAAAAAACCTACTGAAAGACCTGAGCTGAATTCAGTGAATTTTCCTGGCTCCATGCAAGGCAAGAAGCTTCCACCCTTGGTATGTCCTTCCCTATCTATAGGTACAGAACTCTTTCCAGCTTCTACTGAGCTCACTGAAGGTCCTGTGATTAATTTCATCATGAGCGGCAGCCAGACAGAAATATGGTCAGTTTGATGAAAATGCAATGCATATGTTAAAATAAAGTAGGCTCACATCTGCATTTTGTCTGCATGCTAAACAATAATGTGATTTTTTTTGGTGCTGTTTTTATTTAAAAAAAAAAAAAAATTGACTGTTCTTTCCAAAGGAAACTTGGCAACAGTAAAATCTAGATGTAAAATCTGGTGGTTTAAAATTTCAGGCCACCAACATTGATTTAACAGTCTAAAAAGGTTTTCTTGCTCTGGGAAAGTCCATACAGACTGACACTTTTTCTTTTCCTTCAAATCTCAGATCAAAAAAATTAAAGTAATTTAAATCAAATATTTCAAGTGACAACTTGGAACAAATTTCTGTAGCCAAATGCAGATTTTTAATGGGCAGGCAGACATCCCCTGTGATAAAATCACAAATCATGGAAACAGTAATTCTGCCTCTACAGACAGGCAAACAGACCAACATACAGAAAGTGCATGTCTCTCAAATACATTCAGATATTTGCCTTTATAAGGGAAGAAATTATTACTCTTGAGGGGCATAGCCATAAGTGAATCATCGAGTATCTCTCTCGCATATGAAGATAGATGGCATATTTGTCTAAAGATGTGGCTTTTGTCTCTCATTCTCTCTCTCTGTGAGGGAGACTCATTTACAGCAAGGATTTATTCACCACTGCAGGATAAATGAGGATAAATGACACAAATGTATGTGTGTGTGTGAATATCTATTCACTACTCATAGTGAGAGTGATGAAACCACTGTGTTCTAAATATAGATGGGGAAGCATGTGACCATGAAAAAAATAATCTCTGAATACTTTTTGGTTGATTATCTTCTGACTTTTGTTGTTGGTGCAAAAGCGTTTGCTATGGATGCTGTCATTCTTGCTCTGTTATTGTTAGTGGTTCAGTGTTCTCATTGGTTGAATTATTCTATAGTACGTCATATAACTGAATTGGAATGGTGGATTTCAGAAATATCCCTCAGCTTCTGGGAAACAAAGAAATCTGGGAGACACTGATTACAGCCTGTAGAATAGTTGATCCCAATACATACAACAAAGAAAATTTAGAAATCAACAATGTGTGCACTTTCGGGGATTTGGGACTGTTTTTGTTGTGGGTTTGTTTTTGGTTTTAGCATTTTTTTTTGCAATTTAACAGCCATGGCCTATTTTAAAAAGAACAGATTGGTGATGATGTAAACTGGATAGTTGTCTCCACATGCTCCAGATAATTTGAGAAACAGTCACACCTTCAGTTGTTTACTTAGGGCTACTTTTTAAACAACTTGTACTATCTTAATCCAATTCAACTCCAATGAGAACAACAGATTTGAAACTTATTTTTCCCCCATTTTTATGTAATTTTTTGATACAGACATTGCCTAGACTTTCAATTTCTTCATTCTGGTGTACTCTACTTTCCCTGGCTTGCTTATACATAATTCAGGGCATGCAACGATCAGGGTACTTCAGCCCATGCTTAACTTCACTTGTATCAATAATGCTATGGATGGAATTCACATGGTTAAAATTAGGTAAATTAATAAATCATCTGTCTGAATGGAGGCAGGGAACAATAAGAACAACTCTTTTAATAGAAAAGCTAATGTTTGTCAAGTGCCAAGCATCATAGCAAGGCAAGTATAGAAGATAGAATGTGCATGATTTTTAAGATGCCCAAATTTTAGGAATTCAGGTTAAGGTTTCCATGGTGATGCTATCTTCATCTACTTCCTTATGAACTTGGGTCTCTGCTGAGTTCCACCCACATGAAAGGATAGAACAGGGTCAAAGGTTTTCTGTGCATTTTCCAAGTAAATTGCAACAGGAGCAATGGCACTGTTCAACTTAAGTATTTTGTATCTAACATATCAAAGAATTAGTTTTTCTTTAATGTCCTCTTCTTTACCTTAGTGTTCACTTCACAAAGGAAAACCCTGATTCAAGGGTGTGAATTGGAAAAAAATAACATATTTTATGCAAGACATATCCTTTAATACAGGCAACACGAGCTCAGTGTAAGCTACAGTGAGCAGAAAGGAGGCTTATGCCACTTCTGCAGCAGGACATTCCTGAGGATTGTCCAAACAAACCTTTGTCGGGTTGTTTAAATTTGAAAGTAGTTACCCATGATCCTAAGTATCCTTGGAGAACAGTAAATCTCTGGCCCCTTTCTTGGCTTGCCTGCCTCACTTGCTAGTCCCCCTAGAAGAATGCAAACTAACAGTTTGAACTGCTGGAGTAGTACAAAGAGAATAGTGGTGACAATTTAGACCACAGATCTTTAGTTCAATGAAAAGTAAGCCAGCCTTTAGAAATATCTGCACATCACTTTGATTTTCTAATTTCCTCTGCTACATGAAGCATAAGGTTCCTTCTTCCACTTTGCATTTTCTTTGAGGCCTCTCTCTGCCTCCACAATCTGCAGTTTTTGCTCAGTTCCCAGCACCTAATGTCTGCCTCTGCTGGCTCTGGTTGTGGGCATCCTTTGCCCACTAGTTACATTTGCAAACAAGTCCCTTTGGGTTACCTTCCATGCCTCTGCACTCACATATGAGAATAATTTCCTATAAATATCTTCAAAACCTCTTCACTCTCCTCTGTCTTATTGCTGTCTAAAACTCTACCTATGAAAAGCTCTAAATCAGCCAGACTGCTGGTGTGTTAATGCAACCACCTGTTATACCACTCAGTTTTGGTTTGTTTTTTTCTTCATACTCACACACTTTTACACTGTATCTGTCACTTACTATGATTATAATGTCCTTGTAAGCCAATATCTAATATAACAGAATCTTAATCTATGCCAATACAATCTCTGGGGTGACAGCATAAAAATGAATGAGGCAGTTATGCAGGAAATGTGCTTCGTCATGAAATGATATCAGCTGTGATAGCATTGTCACAAAATGCAATCACTGCATAGAATACTGATCTCACTAACTGATCAAAGCTCTTTGACCTCAGTGAAACCCAGGAAATTGATCTTTGCCATTAAATAGACACGTGGTTTTAAGTATTTTTTTCTTCATTAGCAATGATCAGAAACCTCCCTTTTTGAAGCGATTTTGATAATATCATTACCTGTTGACCTGGTAATATCATTACCTGTCTTCATTTTCATTCCTTACCTACCTGTTCTGCAGTGCTTATGTGTGCTTATATACTGCCAAAAATATTTATCACTGTTGTCAATAATTAATAATTATTGACAGTGAGAATATTACATGAAGCACTTTGTCTGAATTAATCTATAAATTAGAGGAGGTTATGCTGGTGAATAATCAAGAGTGTTTTACATTTATCATGTTATCTGAAGCTAAGCAAACAATCCTTTTAGAAATACTGCTGTACAATACAAGCTGGCCAAAACCAGCTTTGGACTTCAAAAATGCCCACTCATGTTTAGACTGAATGTTCAACATTTCCTATTCTTTGTTTCATATATATAAATAACCATTTGGAGGAAAATTCTTCCTAGAAGCATGCATATCTCAAACTGGAAAAATAAGAAACATTTCTGAGAAGTGAAAAATGCTCTGTGACATGAACATGCTGCTTCTATTAACCCATTACTTTTTTTGTTTTTGTTTTTGTTCATTTTACAAGAAGCTTAGGGCGCCCAGTACATGAGAACATCTTCCTTCTTTTCTTTCCCAATGCCTCTTTCTGTTTTTCCTCCAAAAACTCAGGACTCAGCTGGCATACCCTTGACGTTAATTTCAAGCACCTTTTGACAGTCTCCTCACCATGGACAGGGCTGTTCTTTTGAAAAAGCAAAACTTACAGTCTATTTAAAGACCGTAAGCTATGGCCCGGGTTTCACGCGAAGCATCGGGCTTTCCCAGGTGTGAGAAGAGGTTCAGAGAAAGTTCAATCGCTCACAGCAAGGCTGACAAACGGAAAGGAGCGAGAAAGAAGAGGTCTCCCCCCGCCCAGCACACACGTACATCTGTCTCCGCCGTGCGTCCCGCTCGCCCCACGACTCCGCGGACCGTACCCCAAACACATCCGAAATGGACCCGGCGAGGCCAGCGCAGCATGCACTCGCGGGAGGGAAAGGAAGGGAAGGGAAGGGAAAGGAAAGGAAAAGGGGATGCCTTCGCACGGTCTGATCATCACCATAAAGAGTTAAAGAGAGAGTGAAATGGCTAACGTACACACACCCCGCTCCATACCGGAGAAGAGTCTCCCAGCTGAGGTTTATGCTCTGTGAGGACCAGGCTGAAACTGACCGCCCCCACGGCCACGCTGGACACCCCTAACCCTATCTCCAGCACGGAGAGCACCAGGAGGCTCCCGATGATCTGACTGCTGGTGCACATCCTCCCTCGGTCATCCTTCCTTCCCGATCAGCCGGGGAAACCGCACATCCTCCTCCTCCTCCTCCTCCTCGGGCGCTCCCGCGGCCCTAAGTCGCCCCCAAACTTTTCTTCCTTCGCAGGCAGCCGGGGCGGAGCGGCGCATCCGCGGCCGCCGGGCGCTACCGAGGGCCCGAGCGCGGCCCCGAGCGCGGCCCCGGCGCTGTGGAGCTCTCCAAGGTGCCGGGCCGGCGGTGGGTGCGCGGCTCCCCGCTCCTAAGGGCTGCGCCTCCGCCGGGAAAGTCGACCTTGTCCGCTCTCCTCCTGCGCTCTCATTGGAATGACCTCACCGGGATTTTTTTTCCCCCCCTTCTTGTTTCTCTCCCCCCCTTCTCTTCCAGGGCTGGGGGCGGGGGGTAGAGGAGTGTGGCGAGCCCAGCCCGGCTATACTTATGTATGAATCCAGACCCAATGCACGGGCAAGGCGCACGGCAGCCCCGCCCCAGAGCCACAAGGCTCGGCACCTTCCCCGGTCCTCCCCCGGCACGTCGCTCGCACACCTCCGCCGTCCCGCGGCGGCCGGGCTGCTGGCGGGACGCGGGAGCCGATGCCAGCTGCAGGCGGATGCTTGAGAGGTGACCCTGCTCGCAGTGGGGGTCCGCAGGCCTCCCTCCTCCCGGGTGCTGCTGTCAAAATTCAGGAGGAAGCTTGTCTTCCTCTTGTATCAGTTAAAGGGTTGGAGTATGCTGTGTCTCACCACTGCAAAACTCTGGTCTTCTGCAAAACCCTACTGACAAAATAGGCGATTTCTGTAGGCATTCCTGTCACTCACAATGGCCAGAACTGTGTCAGTCCCAAAGCAAATAAGCAATAAAGCAAAAATAGAACAAGAGATTCAGGGCTACTAACTTGAGCCTTGCTGGATTGCTTGGTACCGATCTTTATTATTGTGCTTAGATACAGAGGATGTTTTGCCACTCTGACTACAGTTTTACAATCCAGATGCTCTACACAACATGGTAACACACAGACACTCAATCTAGCACCTTGGCTTTCCTAAATACGGATCACCAACACTTGGATATTTACATTAACAAGAGGGCAAAAGAATTACGTAGACAATTATATCTCCCAAGTCTGTACCAGGATTCAAAAACATTGGCATCCTGCAGGATTTAATTATTTCCTCTATAAAAGTGCTATGTTTTTTTATTCTGAAACTTATATGGAATCTTTCCTTTTATCAAAAAATCTGAAATTCTTAACCTGCATATAAATCCTACACTCAGATGTCAGAATCCAGAATGCCAGTCTAGACTTATCCAGTATTTCATGGTGCAATTTGGCAGCAAGAGCATAAGATTAGTGAGGTTCTGACTGAATATTTTACTTTGGACTTCACAACCTATCTTGTGTTTTGATAATAGGTGCTATATACACTTGGGAAGATTGGATCCACTATTGCAGGTCAGAGTTTAGTTCTCATTTGTGGAAATCTTCAATACTTAATTGCAGTGAGTGGAGATAGACTGGCATCAAAGTCTGTCACCTTACGGTGTTTATGCTTTTTTAGGTATCCGAGAGCAAGAGTAAGAGGTCCTGAGTCAGGATCTTAATGCTTTCTAGTTTAATACTTAATCTGTTTCCTATTTTCTCACACTCTTCCCACTTCACAGAAGCAGAACAGTTGACTACATCCAAAGGAAAGCTCTGTTATAGTTAAAGCTGAATTGCCCCTTTTCATCTCTTATGTTTTAAATGGTACCTGACATCTCTTATCATTAAAAATCAAGGCACAGCATAAAAGTTCCTAAGCTACTATATTTATGTAGGAGGATGGAGAAAGCACAGACTTTCAAGTACCCACATGGGTGTAGGAAGGTGTTTCTGCAATGACAGTATCCTTATTATGTCAGATTGTTATAAACGCTGAAGTATGCAAAGGTGCAATGATTTTACTGCTCAGAGTATATTTTACTAGGTCTTTAAAATCCAGTGGTGATAAGAGGGGAATTGCATAATGACAGACATAATTAATACATTTAATGCATGCAGCCAGATAGAGAGCCTGTCACATCAGAATAGAGCTCATGTGACAGAAATAAGATTTCCATAAACAGCTTGTTTTATGTAACATTTCCACTTCAGTCATAATAAGCTGTCAGAAAGATGGAGGGGAAGAGACCTTGTGAAAAGTGTGCCCTAGATGGAGATCACTTCATGCAACAGTTAATAAAACAGAGATATAAAATGGGGTCCAACAGCAGGAGAGGAAGTGCCCTGGCTGCCTGCTTTCTAGTCAGCAGGCTACAGAGAAGTGAAGAGTTAAGCAAGACCACAGCCAGACTTAATGACTGCTCAGGAGGAGCGCCCTTTCAAATAAAGACAGGAAGGAAACATAAAGTTCTAATCACTGCCTTGTTGAAATGAAAAGATACAGTCTTTGTCCATGTAACTTGTGTTTATTTGTACTATGGTGCTGCGTTATCAGTATGTGCTAATCTAGGCAATTAACTTTACACATGGGACTATTCATGCATACATTTCAGCACATGCTTTCATCTTTGCAACATTAAGTTATTTAACTGCTTGCTGTCTCAACTGGCTGGTTTTGAAATGTTTCCTGTATTTGTGATTCCAATAACAAAAATATTATGATGAAAGGGAAAAAAAAAAAAAGGGGGCAAAAAAAGGGGAGGGGGGGAGAGAAAAATCATTCAATATGCAGGCAAGCTTTCATTATAACTGCAGAAAGTCAAATATTAAAATCCCATCTCTAAAGTAAAATTAATTGGAGTCATGAGGGCTTTGGGTCTTTTAATTTAAACCGTTGGATTCATGAACAAAAGACATCAATCTTATTCTTCTTGACTTTGAAGGAAAACTTTTTTTTCTTCTCTTTTTTTTTTTTTTTTTTCATTGCAGACTTTAAAAAAGGTTCATGATAAAAAAAAAAATTCTAGTCATACAGCAGCATGAAGAGTAATTGGATGACATAGTGCTGGCAATGAAGAAGTCGAAATCAGAGCAAAAAATTCATTTATACTTAGTCCCTTTTACATGTGATGACCAAGAGACCCTAAAAAGGTTATAGCCTCTCCGTTGGAAATTACCAGCTTTATGTACCACTTCTGAGCATGTATTCATAGCTGAGTACACTCTGTTCAAGTGGTTCAGTTTATTGATTTCATAATTCCATGAGTCTGCAAAACAATACTGTAAAGATTTTTATTATGAATAAGAGCTGGTCCTATAGTGTTAAATCAGAACTCAGGCGATTGAATGCAATTTGGCCTAGGAAACTGTGAATAAAATTGAAACTGTGCACCATCCTGTGGCTGCTTGGAGGATGAGAAACAAGCTGGTGCAGTCCAAGAGGGGAAATACTCCCTAAGTGTTGGTGTTATTAATATGCAGTTATAAGGTAGCAATTTTGGACAAATAGACATAACTGTGAGTGATCTTGGAAGCTGGATTACTCTTCTACATTATGGATTTATTTTCTAGTCAGTACCAAGCCTTATCAGTTGTGCTATCTTGGAATATTTCTCATAGACTAAATGACTTCTACCAGGATGTTCTCTGGGAAATGGAAAAATTCAGCTTCAAGGACAGCTTGCAAATCCTCTTCTCTTCACTAGTACCTTATACTTTGAACTTACTTTGCAGATTCTATTTCTTTACACTTCTTTGTCACCTGGATGCCTTCAATTCAGTTTGACTGAAGAAGAACCAAGGAAAACCAGTACTCTGACATCTTTTAAGTGTTTGGGTGATGCACTGCCTTGGGTTCTACAAAGGGTTGCCTATTGATTTTATTCTAAAACCAGCTATATCAATTGCATCCTATCTAAAGAAATGTGTGCGAAAGAGCCTTTAGAGCATTCCTTCTTCTTTTTTTTTTTTTTTAATCAACTCTTAGTAAATTTTATTCCTTAGTTTGTTCATACTCTAAATTAGTATGTGTTCTAAAATGGGAAGAAAATCCCATGTAAAACTTGTACAGGAGAAGATAAGGGAGTGTCATTGATTTTGTCTGTTCAAAGTTCAATACACAGGCAAACTTTCTGCTGAATGAGTATTTCAGCCCCAGTAAAGCTAGGATCTGTGTCACTGAAGTGACTATTAAGCTTGTTAGGTCACAACTATTTTTCTTCGATCAAGCATTAAGGCATTGGCTTGTAACACACACAAAAGAATCTGATGACATAATCTAAGAGTACTTGTCACATGGTTTCATTCTCACTCTTTGTATAGTTGCAGAAAGTTATTCTACAGCTCTATAGTGCCTCTCATAGCTCCACTCCTGAAGTTGTGGAGACATGGAGATGTGTTAGAGGATCAGTGTGATCAGTTGGAGAGGATCAGCACATAGCAGCTCAGCAGAGAAAAACCATTGCCATGGACTGCCTTCTTGTACTGTACTCAATAATTATTAAATCTGCCAAGACAGTGAACATTGTGTTCAGACCATTCTGAAACCTGCCTACAACTATGAAGAAACTGCACTTTTCAGTAATGCACTACCATACTAGCTGTGAGCGTATAAAAGTTCCAGATACAGCTCCTAGCTATCTCACTGACACCTTCTGAACACTTCTCATTTTCGTCTTGTCCTCTGCAACAAACTGAGTGTTTTCAAGTGACATTCTTCTTGTCACTGCTGGCAAGAGTGTCCTCCAATTTACTCTGCTGTTTGGGAATACTGATCAAAAAAATAAAAGAACATGAATCTTTAATCCAAACAATTTATTTGATGCAATGACCAGGAAAAATCCTGTCTTGGTTACCTTCTTTTTGTTTTATTATCCCAGTTAGTTAGAGCTTGGTGCTAATAACACCAAGGTTGCAGGCAGGTTGGATCCCTGTATGGGCCATTCACTTAAGGGTTGGACTTGTGGGTCCTTTCCAACTCAGACTATTCTGCAATTTTGTGATTAACTTTGGATGTTCAAAACAAAGCAAAAGTGAGATAACATCATTATAGTCTTGCTATATAAACAGAATGTATAAAACAATCTCTT